CTGGCGCCATCGAATTCTTTTCCAATTTAATTTGTATTGAAAAAACGTAGCCCCTCTCAAATATCGTGATATCGTATCGTCAAAGTTCTCACAATAATATCGTGGACCATCACAATATATCGAATTACAAGTCTCTTTGCTTAAATTAAGAGTTATGGTGCAGCTGTAGCTTAAAAAAGACAGAGGGAACTACATAGACCATGATTCTTTGCTCCATTTTAGTGTAGACTACATGAAGGAATAACAGTTCTAAGCACTTTTAGTCTTGTCAAGGCATTTTAAGAGGAAAAAGTTGCAGTTTTGTTCAGCCTTCACAAAATATCGCAATAAATATCGTACGGCGAGATGTATATCGTGAAAATATTGTACAGAGAGATTTCGATATTGTTACATCCCTAACTAACTGGTGAGGCTAACCACCATATCGTGAGCTTTCCCACGATATCGCAATAAATATCATACCGTGAGGTTCATACCGTGACGATATTCGTATTGTGAGACTTGGATATCGTTACACCCCTACCTTATCTTCATAACTGCTGCTGTCAGGCTTCTCATTTTGGTCTTAAAATGTTCATATTAACCTGCTCTTCATTAACCTGGTGTCTTTTATTTTGTTATATTGTCCGTAAATCAATTCTTATTCCCAATATGGAACTCCAGATTCGCTCCTATAACCGCAAGCCTCGTTGAGCTTCATTTGACTGGAGCTGAACACTGCCTTAATTCACTTCTTTATACAGTCTATGATTTGTGTCTGTAATGAGTTAATAATTCTAGCTTCTACAGCTCTAATCTTATCATGTTATAGCCAAAAAATAACCAGCAATATCCCAGTTGTGCAAAGAAAAAGTATCCATGATAAACACTGACCCCAAAAATATTCTAAAATATATATTCCTGTTTTTATATATTGAACGGTAAGTCAATATATTAATTATTGTGACACACCTAGGTAGGTTTGAAATGGAGAGTGGATTGGGCTGACTTTTTTTTTTTCTGTCTGAGACCAGTCTTTGTCCGACAGAGCAGGGATCGAATCCAGACCACGCCCGATAGGCATTAAGATATTTGTGTCCAAGTCCGACCGAGCCCGACACAATTAAAATCACACTATTGTCACGGGCCTAGTAATGCCACATGTACGATATTGTTTGTGTGGAAAGTCTGATATTATTAACTGAAAAAAGGCATTTGGAACGTCAACAAAGATGAGCGTAGGGCATGAACGCACGCACATGGATCAACAAGTGCACGTGAGCAAAAGAGGCCGGGCCCAGTCACGTCTTATCGCGCTGATGTGTCTGAGTCAGACCCGAGTCCAAACATAAGTTCTAAATATGGCTGCGTTCAGACTGCAGCCTGAAGTGACCCAAATCCGATTTTTTGGCTTCTATGTGACCTGTATCCGATCTTTTAATGACAGTCTGAACGACACAGATCCGATTTTTTCAAATGTGACCCAGGCCACTTGGATATGTGGTCCTGAAACCGATACATATCCGATCTTTTGACATGCGACTTCAGTGTGAACGGCCAAAGCGCATTCATTCGACCTTGACGTCATCGTGTCCTCCAGTGCGCATGCGGGACACTTTCGGGCCGTTTACTATTCACACAGGGGATCGCATACAAGTCGCATTTAATTGGAAATGTGAAAGACCTCGCAAAAACATCGGATTTCACAAAAAAATTGCAATTGAGCGTTAAGCCCTGCTGTCTGAACGTAGCCTATTTGTCCGAGTCCGACCGAGCCTGCCTGACTTCGATTGTGTTTCCATGCTCTAACTTGAAAGAAGGAGGAAATTAGAAATCGGACTGATAATGGCACTTTTTAGCGTATCGACTATTGGCCTTAAATCTCCAGCACAGACCGATACTTTGTCTTTTTAACCTGCTGCCTGGAAAGTGCACACAAAGCTTTATTTTAACACTTTAGTCATGTTTTCTGCAGTCGTCTCTTGCACTACACACAACTCTCTTCTAGGTTTATGTTAAAAAAAAGTAGTCAAAATCTGACCTAGATTTCTGCACAGAAATATCGGCAGAGCTAATCGGTTCGGCATCGGCCATGAAAAACATAAATCATATTGGTCAATCTGTAGAAGTGGAGCTGGACAGAGGGAGGGAGCGAGGGAAAAGACGAGAAGAAAGTGATAGGACGGAGAGAGAGGAGGAGAGAGGTAGAGGATGGAAGGGAGCATGTTTCTCAGAGTTGGCCTGTGGATGCGGGCCGTGGGTGGAGGATGACAACAACTGCTTTGCTCTGCTCTGGTTTATGGTTTAAAGATGAACGTTCGGCGAATTCAACATTTTGAAAATTCCTAGAAATAATAGAACTTTTAAATCAGAAAAGCTAAAAGGTCAAATTTAATGAAGAGCGGTAAAACAAAGTAATTTCTTTTTGAGAATAAAATGAAAAATCTGCATGAAGAAATGAAATCCTATGCTGATTACTAAAGTGATAAAGTACATTTAGTGCAATGTCTTTGAGGTTTTTAGAAAGTTATAACATCACAATTCAAGGTTCATTTCTGTCCTGTGAATGTGACATTTTTAGTATTGATACCTGCTCAAATGAGGATCTAGTTTTGATAGTTTTAGGGTTGATTAGTATCTGATTTTTGACAACTCTAGTATGCTATAAAATGTTCAAAACGTTCATGATAAAATTATACATTTAGAAGTTAAACAAAGAATACAAATGATGCTGCTGATGCTGAAGCCAGTTGCCATGGCATTTGAGGTTTATTTTATGTTTTGACAATTTTTGATGATTTTTCTTTTTACATATGTAGGTTTTTTTTTTTAGCTTTGATCAAGTAGATAGTTTTATTTCAGTCCCACATGTTTAACACACAAACCCTGCATATTTAGGCTGAGTTCTTAAACGGAAAACACCTCATTCCACCTTGTGATGTCATGTGGTAATACAGGAAGGAATACTGATTTCGCCCTTGGAATTACTAATCTCTGTTGAACTAAAAGTAAAAGGTCAGTGTTCACTTGAAAACTACACTGCCACTACATGACATCACAATGTGGACCAGACCATTTTGAGCTTTACTCACATGTGTGAAAGAAGCAAAACACAAATTCAGGTGTGTTTTTGAGGAGGTAACAACATTATAACTGGCCTTAAAACTCACGAGAATCAATTTTGGGTAATATAGGACCTTTTAAACACTATTTTTATGTTTTCTTGTATTCACTGTTGGCTGTCCATGCTTTAACTAGACTCGTACGTTTTCTCCTGACCTGAACATATAGGGCACACTGCGCTTGAATTTGAAGTTTCCCCTCAGTGATAAAGATCGTAATTTCTAAATTGAATCTTCAGATTGGGTCTAATGCATCATCCGTATACTGATAATCCAATCTTTTCCTTTACCGAGCTCATCCTACTATACTCAGCCTTACAGCGTCGAAACTTTTACATGGTTCTTGAAATCTGCACTATGTAACTTTTTGGTTGCTTCTTTCTATGGATATGTCAATGCTCTGCTGGGAATGTTCCACAGTATGACATTAATCAGCTCTACCTTGCATTTATTCAGTTACAGGTGGTTTTATAGCTCAAAAATACCTAGAAAAACAGACATTCCGACTGTGAACGGGGTCACCTCTCCTCAGATCTGACATGTAACTTGGTCTGGTTTGGTTTCCATGAAGATGGAAAGGTTTAATGACATACTGTGGAACATTCCAGACAAAGCAATAACATCTCCATGGTGAAAAGCATTTGACGAACCCTCCCAGAAAAGTTACACAATGCACCTTTAAATGCAAATCAGGAACTACTGTGTTGTATTCACTTGATTGCACACATTATCTTTAACTTGAGAGTGTTAGCCAGAATGCAAGGTGGTATAAACATTTGTTATGTGAAATTTTTATCTAAGGTTGGTATATCAATTATTGGCAGTCTCGATACCAAATTTCCAGATAGCTGTGTCAGTCCAATATTGAAAATGCATTTGATATTTTTTGTGTTCATTCCCGTTTTGTCATTATTTTTCCAAAAGTGATTCATAACGTAACATAATTCATAACATAATTTAACATAAATTTGGTTTATGGTATAATTTTTAAAGTTAACAAGTTTAAAAGTTTAATATTGATATTGGCCACATGAGAGAGACAAATATCAGATATTCTATCGGCTCACAAAAATCCTTATTGGGCCATTCCTAATTTTATCTAATTGTGCAAATTTAAGTTCTTCAAATGACTTGAGCTTAAATTATCCTTTCATTTGCATTAAATTGTGAAACACCTTTTGAAAAAACTGCAGTAATAATCACTGTCAAAGTATTTGTTAACAAAACCAATAAATTAAACTTATCTTGCTTTCAAAATGGTTAGCCCACAATTAGCAATTGTCAAAGGTCTCACAATAATGTCGTGGACCATCACAATATATTGAATTACAAGTCTCTTTGCTTAAATTAATTGTTATGGTGCAGCAATAGCTAAAAAAAGACAGAGGGAACTATATCGACCATGATCCTTTGCTCTGTTTTAGTGCAGACTACATGAAGAAATAAATTTTATAAAGATTTTTAAGACTTGTCAAGGCATTTTAAGAGGAATTTGGATATCGTTACATCCCGACTCAATACTAACATTTCAAACCCGATTTTGATTCTAGGAAATGGACTCGATACTCTGATATTCTGAAACCACAAAGATAATAAAAAACACCTTCCTTAGACAATAGAATGTTATTTTCAACATTAAATCTTGTGACTTTATATCTGCATAATGTGTCAGTTGTTCGGGTAGGTTCCATAATTATCCAGAGGCATAAATGTGGTCTTATTGTCTGCTAAATTGATCATACTAAAAAAGTCCAGGTATGTTACTCCACAGTGTCCTCAAACTGCGCACTGTGGCACCCCATTTCATTCCTTTTTTGGTATTTATTTATTCTACCTTGTCGTGAGTACAGTAGTATTTCTCTTTGCGTGTGCGTGTGTGTATTGCTTTGGTTTTTCCAGTTTGTAGGAATGTCTCACCTGTCACCTGCTTCCCCACGGCTCATTCACGCCAATATCTCCAGTGTTGGCTTTAGCGGGTGGAGCTGGCCCATGTGCACGCTCCGCTCCTTCTGGATCCTTATCTGCGAGTACTGGGTGCAGTAGGAGCTGTAAACCCGGGCTGGTATTTGTCTGAGGGGAAAATAGGAGAATTGTTCAGTGACATTCTCGATAAATGTAAATGAGTGAAAAAATTTTATGGTGGTACAGTTGTTTTTTGAATCACTAGACCTTCTATTCTATGCAGGCATTTGGCTCACTGATGTTTTAAGATTTGCTGCATTTTGTTTTATAACCTAATGTTCTTACGATACTAAAATCAAACTAGTTTTCGATACTAAGGAATAGGCTCGATGCCAATGCCAATACCACAATGATAGTTAGGGCTGCAACAAGTTACTCAATTAATTGCAACAAATGCCAACCAATTTAGTAATAGACTCATGAGACTCAAAAATTAGACTCAAAACATGTCATGAACTGAGAGTATAGGTTTTATTATGCAGACAAATCAGTAATTTATGAAAATGACATCACAAAGACACAAAATTTACCAATTTCTTAGATCCTACAATAGGCTCTATTCACGCTTACTAGAAGACATTTAGAAACATGCGGATTACGACATCCGGTGTAGGGTTAGGTTACCAACACTGGGCATGTGATAAAACCATGGATCCAGCAGCCGCGGTCTTCTAGAGATGCACAGATGGGCTATTTTTTTCATCCGCAACCGCATCACAAAACTCATCATCCGTCCGCTATCCATTTGCACCCACGGTTTTTGACCAATTTTCAAAACAGCACCCGCCCTCCATCCGCTAATTGCCAAGTTCAGATTTTTTTATTTGACTAGTTAATTGGGCTTTAAACCGCCACCCGCCCGAATTTAATTAAAATATTATTTTTCGTCACGTCATCTGCCCAACCCGTGGTTTAGCCATGGAGTTCGCTGCTGTAATCGCCATTCAAGCATCTCTACGGTCTTCGCAACCTGCCAAAGTTTTCCTTGGGGGAAGTGAGTCTAATCATATCATTGTCACTTACAGGCAGCCCGTTGTAACTGTTGATCTGTCGAACATGACGGAACACTACAATAACATCTTTTTTTTTATGAAGTTAGGCAAACTATAATACACAAATGAATAGGCAGTTTATAAAAGGAAAAAAGAAAGAATACAATGATGTCTAGATGAAGAAACTCCACCCCCCCATGGCCAGCAATGTTACAACAACATTATCCCCTGTCCCAAGACAAATTTCTCCCATGTGAGACAATAAAGGATTATCTTATCTTAACAGAGCCCAAAGGAAGTCATCATCTGCATGTTTCCAAACGTCTTCCGTGTTTGTGACATAAGCATGACTAGGAGCCTACTGGAGTCCATTTTGACCATTTCTCTTTTGTTAATTTTCTCAGCAACTGTCCTAATTTTGTAACTTTTGAAACCTATGTTATATCCCGTAATGTAGTATTACAAAAAAATAACATTTTGCTTTGCTGTAGAGTTGTAAATCAGTGTATCTATCATGACACTAATCAATACTAAAACTAGTCTCAAACTACATACTGGTTTTAGCAGGTATTGGTTAATTTCTGCCACATTAATGTGACTTTTTTGGAACTTTTTCTGAATAGTTTTAGAATGATCTTGAGCTGTACCAGAACAAGTATAAAATCACATAAACTAGTATACGCCCATGGACTACTGAGGGATTACACGGATACAAGACCACACGGGAATATAGGAAAAACACTTCTTTGCTGTGGTGTGACCAAATTAAAAGTGAACTCACTAGAAATGAGAACATATAGTTCAGGAAGCAAATAGCCAAAGGAACTGTTTGATTGTGTAACATGAGAGACTGAACATGTAAGAGGTAGTGTACGGAATAACCTGAAATGTGAATATAAATGAGTTATTTTAAAGACCGTACCTTATTTAAAATGTGAAAACCTTTATATTATTCAATTTATTTTCAAAAGGAGATCAGCAGTGGTCCAGTTATTCCTTACTTAATTACCGTAAACATTCAGAGCATCCTAATTATTCACCCTAGTGAGTTTTCAAGTATCTTTCACAACTTTTAAACCAGTGTGAACAGATAGGTGTATAGAGATGTCAGTGTAAACATATACAATATATTGTGCAGAACAGACTCATGTTACCTTCTCAAAAACAGACCTGGAGTTGTGTTTTGTTTCATTCACACATGTTTGAGTAATTCTGGTTTATTAAATTGTTTACATCTCCACATCTACACTAATACTTTGTTCAACTTTGTGATGTCATGAGTAGGGGTTTGCAAACATATTGAAATATCGATATATCGTATCGTTTAATGTGATGATACTGTATCAATATCGTGGGCTGCTGAATCGATATATATCACCAAGATAATTTTTTTTAAATATTTTACTCAATTATTTTATTACAACACTACATTTTGCAGCTATTATTATTTATAGAACCATATTGAATCAATTTGAATTATTTTGTATCGAATCTAAAGTGCATCATATAAGCAATTAAAGATCGTATCGTGGCCTATGTATCGAGGTATGTATCGTATCGGCAAATTCTTAATGATACCCAGCCCTCGTCATGAATTGGTAGTTTTCAAGTAAACTGCTACCTTTTTACCTTTAGTTCAGTAGAGATTCCCAATTCCAGAGCTGAAATTATCCTAATGATTCTACTGAAGATGTGTGGAGTTTAAAAACACAGCTGGAGCACTTCCTGTATTACCACATGACATCACAAGGTGGAACGGTGTTTTCTGTTTGAGAGAAGAACTCAGTCTAAATATGCAGGGTTTGTTTTAAAAGTGTGATTGAAACAAAATACATTTCCAGGTATATTTTTGATGAGGAAACATTATAACATAGATCAGATAATAGCTCAATATAGGCCATTTTTAAGTTTTTTACAGTTTCACTTGTTTTATTATAACTGAAAATGAGTGAAAGTATATTAAAATCTTGCTGTAATATCGATATCGCAGCCAGATCACACAAAAAAATGTCCTATATGTTGCAGCCCTACATGCAAATTTCACTCTTAATGTATGAAACCACACCCTGCTGCTCCCTGACTGTAGACCCTCCATCACCATCATGGGACCAGTGCTGCTCCCTTGGCCTAATTGTCCTCATCTGCTTCGGGGTTCTGACTTTGGAGTCGCCCGGCCTCTTCAAAGCTCCGTGTTGTTGACCCAAGTTTAGGATCTTAATTCAAAAACATCACAGTCACAAGATGGAGGAGCTGTGTTTTTGTGCAGTACCACAGGAGGCTGAGACCCGACTCGGACATGGGACGACCTCAATGAAATTAGCTGACAAATAAATGTGATTATGTCCGCAAGGAGGTAATGTTGTGGTAGGGACTTATCAGGATGCCATTTCGGATCAATAAAAACTACCTGATCAGTCTGGTCAGTGTCAAGTTTGACCAAAAATACAAAGTGAATACATAGGAAAGGTAGTGGTAGTATGGAGTTCTTTCTCTTTACTAGAATAAAACAATACTTATGGAATAAAGAGTAAAATTGACTAATACGGAGCAGTTTTGTTATTTTACTTTGGTAATACTGGTGACACTTTACAATAACAACCTAATTAGCCTTAATACGTGAAGAAAGGCTTAATTCATAACAGTTTCTAAGGCTGAATCATTCTTATTAAACTAATAAATCATTAGTCATACATTTCCAGATGCTCTAAATTGCTTTATGATTGAGCACATTATTCATTCTGTACTCTGTGGTGATATTGTATAGTTACAGCTGTCCTGGGGCAGACTGACAGAAGCAAGACTGCCTCTGACCAACACTCACACATACACACCACATTCAGGTGAAGTGTCTTGCCTAAGGACTAGAGGTGTTGAAAAATATCGAAATGTTTATATATTGTATAGTTTAATGTGATGATACAGTATCGAAATCGTGGGCTGCTGTATCGATGTATCGCCAAGAGTATTTTTTGGTGTATTTCACTAAATTACTTTGTTACAGCGCTACAGTTTTGTTGCTTGTTCAGAGGAAGGAAACTCTTTTATGCAACACACTTGACATTTTCACAGTTTTGATGATTAAAATGTTTGTGTTTTATATTCACTTTGCACAAGAAGTGGTTTAACAAAGACTTTAAGTATCACAGCAATGATTTAGACATTTGAAATATTTCGTAATCAAATCGAAAATCGCGCTGTATCGAGTTATGTATCGTATGGTGGCGTATGTATCGAGGTATGCATCGTATCGGCAACTTCTTAATGATATCCAGCTCTACTAAGGACACAAGAACAGCTTTGACACTGGCCCACTGTGTAACCCGATTTTTACCAGCGATCTCCTGTCTAAGTCCTGACCAGGCCCAGCCCTGCTTAGCTTCCAAGATCTGATGAGATCAGGCTTTGACAAGGAGGTTTGGCCAATGCTTAATTAATACTGTAACCCTCAACCCCGACTTCCAACCCCTTAAGTAGATGCTAATCTTTAATACCCTAACACTCTATTTGACGAGTACAATAAGCCAGAATCACTCTGAATAAATGGTTAATATATTTCTCTCAGGCCAAATCTGGCACACCATTCAAACAAGAGTAACATAGATAGCTTCTAATAGGGCGGGTCAGCCAATCTAAATACAAATAGTAGCTTTAAGCCTAATTAAGATGAAGTTATTATAAATTGTAAATAACTTGTGCATTTAAATAAAATTTTTCTTCAATATTTGCAGCCTTAATTTTGACCTACCTACAAAATCCATCATTTCTAGTTTTGAAAAATAAATAAACCCAGTGATAACCTTTGGTGCTCCATCGTCTCCAGGTTGAATATTGTTGACCGCAGGAGCTGGGCCCAAGCCAAGAAAGCCCCTATTCGATTAGAGCTCCTAATCACGTCTGCTAACTCACTTACAGCTCAACCTCTTTTTCTGCTAATCGTTTTAAAGGCCTTTTTGAACGTTGGCACCAAAACACTGCATGGTTCTGCTCCTCCACCAGCCGAGGTGCAAGCCGGCGATTCAATTTGCTTTTGGTGAGCGCATTCCACACGTAGCGCTTCTGCTTCAAAGGATCGGTCCGTGTCTGGTTAATGTGGCGGTGCTGGTTGTCAAAGTACTTCCTGTATTTGGCATCGTTCTGAGGTTATTATCTGTTTGGAGTAGCAGACGGGAGCAGTGCATCAGTGAGTGGAACAGACTCCATACTAGGGCTGGGTAGCAGTAAGAGGCTCCCAATACGATACATACCTCGATACAGTGGGCTTTTGATTCAATACGATATATTTCAAATTGATTCGATGCAGTCCAATGAAAAATAATGGCTTAATTATGGCTGTGATACTAAAAGTCTTTGTTAAGACACTTCCTGTGCAAAATGAAAATGAAACATCCCCAATTTAATCATCAAAACAGTGAATATGTCAAATGGAAAGGTTCATTTCTGTCCTGGGAATGTGATTTATTTTTAGTATCAGTACTTACTAAAATTAGTATCGAAACTAGTATCAAAACTAGATACTCATTTGAGGATCGATGAGTATTGTAGTATAGTATTTGATTTTTGATAGTCTTGACAACCCTATCATGATTGTGATATTTTCTGAGAATTTCCAAAGAAGGACAAAAAGAAGGGTATCTGACAGGAAACGTTTGCCAAATATGTAAATAACTGCTCCACAAAACAACTAATAATTTGGACAAAGCCCAATACCATACAAATTTTGATACCTCAAAAATGATAAAAGATCATCCTAAAACTCTTCCGCAAAAGTCCAAGCACACAGTTGCCATTAATAAGTCAGTCAGCGTAGGCGAAATGTTTTGGTCAAGAAGTCAATGGCGATATGTGCTTGTCAGTAGAATGCATTGAACTTCCAACCCTTTTGTTCTTTGTGAGTCCCATTCTTAAATTCTCAGAAAATGGAGAAATAAGAAAAAAATCTTCTGAGTATTTGCACATAATTTAATAATGATTTGGTAAACACAGATGGCCACACTGGGAAAAAAGTCTGGAGATGGTATAAACTTAATAAAGCTGTCAAAAGACCCAAAATATTCTTGTTAGCCTGTTTAATCTTATTGATACTTTGCAGCTGATGTCGTTAACTTTCCCTGGGGCTGTGATGCTGACTATAGGCACTGCTTTGTCTTAAGATCTGTTTCTAAGTTAGACTTAATTTGAGCTTTATTTTAACAATCTCACCTGATAGAACTGACTTCATTGAAAGTACAACAGATGTCACCATGGGAACTGCTGAACTAGTGATGGCCACGATTATCCGACTAATCGATAATTGATCATTAGGAATTTAATTGATCACGTTCATTTTTAATCGACAAAGTGAATGTAGTTTGCTGTGTGTAGTGAAGCGTAAGGAGACGAGGCTGTGTCTGACAGCTCAAATACTGGAGTTGTGGCCTCACATGCCCATGTTTCGGCTCTGGCTCCTCCTTGGAGACACTGTACCACTCAGTGAGTGTGTTTACAGCACATCAGTGTCCTGGTGTGGCCGGGTTTTTTTGAGTATCCTGGTTTTGTCATGGTGCATGTATTTTATGTAATAGGGTAAGATTTGACCAGTAGAGTCAAATCTATATTGCATGTATCCCAGTTACTGCAACATAAAATTTTGTGCGCATGTGTTCAAAAGACAAACACTTTTCAGTCTTTTCATCACAACAGTAGCCAAATCAGAGCCACATCAATCCTTTTGAGATTATAATGTGTTTAATTCTGTTTTGCGCAACTCTCACAGAAAGGAAACTTAAAACCGCATCGCTAATTTGCATAAACTAAGCGAAGATAAAACTACAGCTCTTGTGTGCTGATGCGGTTCAACTGTCCGACAACTGTCTGATTAAAAGACATGACTCAGGTGAATACAGGTTAGTGTGACCATATTTGCGTTTGTCAAAACCAGGACACCGTACGGGAGGTGGGAGGTGGGGACTCGTCATCGACATTGCGCGACTCTCACCTGGCAAAACTTTTTCCCACTGGACACCGAAACATATGTGCTGCTTTATACACTGTGCACATGGACTCACACGTGTCCCGAACGCAACGGAAAGCGTGGAATTTCTTGTACAAGTCATCGTTAAATACACATTTGTGCTTCGGTACGTTGCAGACTGACCGACTGTTTGTGTCTCGCTCCTTCTGAGTGCAGAGAGCTACATGTAGAGACCCCTGTTTGGTCATGCTACGCACAGCAACCTACATTCGGTTTGTCGATTAAAATGAACGTAATCGATGAAATTCTTAATGATCAATTATCGATTAATCGACTAATCATGCCCATCCCTAGTCGTGTCCTTTAGTCTGACTGAAACTGAACCGCATCAGTGCACAAGGAAAGAGCTGTTTGTTTTTGTTGTTTTTTTTAGCACAGTGTAGTTTATGCAAATGAGCCATGCGGTTTTAAGTTTTGTTTCTGTAAATAACACATCTCAAACGGGCTGATGTGGCTCTATAGTGGTTATGTTTTATATGTTGTAAAGTAGAGTTTATTTATGTAAATTAGTAATGGTAATAATAATGATGATAACTTTAATATAAAAACGTTAGTTAATCTAAAAAAAAAAACAACAACAATCTTTTATTCTCCTGACAATTGATTAAGAAAATTTTATCAAATGCCCATCCCTATGCTGAACATTTGCCACAGAGGTGCATGTAGAACACCCCCAGTGTAACATTCTAAGATTACAAGTACTAAGATTACAAGATTAAAAGTGTATGTTGTTTATTGGTATCACAAACGGCTGTAGATCAGGTTGGCGATTTTCAGCTTCCACAGATGAATACTGTCATTGTGTCCCTGGGCAAGGCACTTAACCCCCCCGCTCTTCTTTTTCATTGACGTAAAGTGCTTTGAGTGCCTTGACGGTCGTAAAGTGCTTTATAAATGCCATCGCCATTTACCTGAAGCTTGGTGGTCTGGTCCCCTCTCTCGCCAGGGCATATTGTTGTTGTATCCTCGGGCAAGACACTTAACTCGCCTCACCTCAAGCTTCTGCGTACACCAGAGTATGAATGTGTGACTGTTTTCTTGTTAAGGAATGCCATGAGTTTCCAGTTTATGACTTAATGTATTAATAAATGGAAGATAAAAACTGAAATACCAAACCAAGGAAAGTATGTGAAAAGTCTGGCTGTTTGAAACTATTTTAAGTCGTTTTCTCGTCAGTTATTATTAGTTTAGCTTTAGATCTTTTTTTGTTCTCTCAAGAATGTTGTATAACTTTTGAGTAAGGTGAAATATTGGCCAACTGTAAGCCTGTCACTGTAACAAATGTTGAAGTAATATGCATCGCTACAGAGATATACTGCGATAAACGATAATACTGAAACTACTTCATGCCCTTGAGACTGATTATTGCATCATTAAAAGGCCTGAGATGCAAGAAATAAATTGAAGAATTACCTATAGAAGTCATTTATGCAACCCTCTACTGGTTAAATCTTACCTTATTACATAAAAATTAGGGATGTAACAATAACCGAAAAATCGTGAGATCATATCGTCAAAGTTCTCACAATAATATCGTGGACCATCATAATATATGGAATTACAAGTCTCTTTGCTTAAATTAAGAGTTATGATTCAGTAATAGCTAAAAAATGACAGAGGAAACTACATAGACCATGATCCTTTGCTCCATTTCAGTTTAGATTACATCAAGAAATAACAGTTTTAAGCACTTTTAAGTCTTGGTTATTTTGATTAAGTCTTGTCAATGCATTTTAAGAGGAAAAAGTCGCATATTAACAGTTTTGTTTTTGCCTCCACAAAATATTGCAGTTGATTGAGATTTGGATATTGTTACATCCCAAATCATGAGCTTTACCATGATATCGCAATAAATATCGTACCTTGAGGTTTATAACGTGTCGATATCGTATCGTGAGACTTGGATGTCGTTACACTCCGAAGAAAAATGGTAGAAAATCTCCCCACTTTTGCAAATAAATTGTATACAAGATAAATACTAAGCCTTAAATATATTGTTCCAGCTTTGATATATTGCACGATAAGTTGAAATCTGATAGACAGACCAATTTATCAGGCCGATATTTGGACTTTATTGTGTGTTGGCCTAAAAAATCTAGATATAAAGAGATAACGGCACAAAATGTGACTATACAGCTGTCTTCAAGGTTTTTGTTCTCCATGGAGACGTTATTGCTTTGCCTGTTTCACAGTATGGCATTAAACCTTTTTAGCATCATGGAGACCAAACCAGACCAAGTTACAGGTCAGATCTGTTTTAAAGGTGACCTCGCTCAAAGTCAGCGAGTCATACTGTTTTTCTAGGTATTTTTGAGCTATAAAACCACTGCAATTAACAAAAAATGTAAAGTAGAGCTGTGTAATGTCAGACTGTGGAACATTCCAGGAAGTGCAATGACATCTCCATAGAAACAGGTGATGGACCCACAACCAAAAAGTTACACAGTGCCCATTTAAATCATATATTTGGGGGAAAATAATCAAAATTGGCTCAAATATCGGCACAGCTTATCAGCCATTGGTTGCTCTTTATTCTAAACAATGGTACAACTGCTGACCGCGATATAAAAACGTAGTGGTGATTGTTGATGTGTCTTTTTTTGTGTGTGTGCCCGCAGGTCCGTTCACAGATGTAGTGACCACCACGCTGAAGCTGAGTAACCCTTCAGACAGAAAAGTGTGTTTTAAAGTGAAGACCACAGCCCCGCGCAGATACTGTGTACGGCCCAACAGTGGAGTGATCGAGGCGGGGGGCAGCGTCAACATCTCAGGTACTGCTCCTCTGCACGGTCTTTTCTGATTTATATGCCTGTTCTTTGGAGCGAATCGGTATGATTTGTAAACTGTATATGCAGATGGAAATGAGCATGGGTGCGCTTCTGGCTCCATCAACTCTGGCTCTAATTGACTTTACGCTGAAAAATTGTCACTCCTCTCTCTAACCGCTGCAGAGAGCCTCGTTGTTTTGATCTTAAAATGTTCGTATTAAATCGCTCTACATGATCATGTTGTTTTCATTTCACCATTTTGTCTGTAAATAAATTCCTTTTCCTAATATGGCACTCTGCTTCAAATTCACACATATAACCAGCCTCCATGAGCTTCATTTGACTGGAGATGAATGCTATTGGCGACGTCACACTGCCTTAGTCCACTTCTTTATGCAGTCTATCGTATCGTCCGAAAGCGTTTCACTTGGGTTGGGTATCATTAAGAAGGTGCCAATATGATACATACCTTGATACATAGGCCACGATAGCAATTTTTGGATTCGATATGAAATATTTCAAATCAATTTGATGAGGTTCACTGGAAAAAATAAAAAGTCTAAATCATGGCTGTGATACTAAAAGTCTATTAAGTCCACTAAATTTGTGCAAATTGAACATGAAAATCACCCATTTTACTCAAAACAGTGAAAATGTCAACACAATTGTAGCTCTCGCACAAAATAATTTAGTAAAATACATTGCATTATATAAATAAAAAAATATATTGTGAGAATATTTTTAGGTATATCGATACAGTAGCTTATGATATCAATATTGTATCATCAAATTAAACAATATGATATATCGATATTTCAATATTTATGCACACCCTTTCGTTTCACAATGTTAAGTGAACCGTAGTAGCTTCCAAAGGAGTCTCGCTCTCTTCAGAACTCTGTACAGTTTAACTAAAGGAACTGCATAGTGCAATGAGAAGAGTGGATATGGGAGAACGCAGACTCAGGCAAAAACAAGATGACTAAAAGCAAATATAAACTTTAAATAATAATAATTTCTCAGAAAACACAGACTTAAACTTGTATTTCCAGTGATGTGACTTCTATATTGAGCCGACATGTCTAGAAAAACGAAGCTAGCACGTTTGCAACATCTGTTTCCTCTTTATTAATATGCCCTATTCAAGTCAAGATCCACAATATATTTCCAGAGAATAATACTTCTAACATGAGCCAAACCCGCTGCACTGAGGCGGAGAGAAGTGAAATAAATACAGCAAAAAAAGATGACGATAAACTGTGACAGAGGGAGCTACAAAAGTTTAATACTGCAATCCCATTTCATTACTTTTCTAACTAAATAAAAGTCCTAATTCTTCTAATCAAGCATTAATTATACAACTTTTACAACTGTTATGCTTTGAAGTGCAGTTCGCCTTCATGAAATTTCAGCTCTGAGAAAGAGGGCTGCACAGTTTATTACAAACATCTTAAATCATGAAAACAAAACAAAAAAAACTCCAGATGTTACACAATTTTCTGTATTTAAAAATCTAAAAAGGCAGATTGTATTAATTTTCCTCTAATTAAATTGTGCTTAAAGATGCATTGTGTAACTTTGCCTGTTTTTCGAGATATTTTTGAGCTATAATACCACCTGTAATTGAATAAATATAAGGTAGAGCTGTTTAATGCCAGACACAGCAATGACATATCCATAGAAACAAACATGTGACCAACCATAAAGTTACATAAAGCACCTTTTAAAGTCTATATTTAATCAGCTTTCTCTGTATAGATACTTGTGAAGTCGATCCAGTCAAGGAAACCGTATAGAAAAGGAAACACATTAGAGTAGTGCTGCTAAATACTGACTGAACTTGTAATGTACCATCACTGTTTGTCACATTAAACATGTGACTTGTATATGATCAGAGGCCTGTTCCCTCCACGTGCTAAATGACATTCCAACTTGGGGCTAGTTCAGCTATTAACATGTATTTTTTATCGTTTGCGTGCAGGGAAGTGTGAAAAGAAGACATGTGGTTCATTTTTAAAGGGCACATATTACACTATTTTCTGGCATGGCAAGGCAAGTTTATTTGTATAGCACAATTCGTACACAAAGTAATTCAAAGTGCTTTACAGAATGAGAAATACATTAAAATCACATTACAAACTAATCAAAACAGAAATAATCATCATTAAAATTAAAAAGAGAGACATTAAATCAGAGTGAGGGAGAAGAATGTGGAATGAAAAATGAAAAACCATCACAAACATACCTGGAATTTTGTTTTGTTTCATTCATTCGCACATGTTTAACACACAAACCCTGCATATTTACGCTCTTCTCTCAAACAAAAAACACTGTTCCAACTTGTGATGTTGTGCGGTAATACAGAAAATGCTCCACTGTGTTTTTAAACTCCATACAGCTTCACTAGAACAATTTGGATGATTTCACAGCCCTGGAATTGCTAATCTCCACTAAACTAAGGTACGTTTATATGATGACAGTCTGAACAGAAGACGCAAAAGTGGCGTCGTGTCTTCACTTTTCATTCCGTGTTTAGAAGAGCTTTTTTGGGAGGAAATCTGCGTGCATACGGTGATGCAAAAATGTGTCCAGTTCGATTGGGTATGCATGCCAGGTGGCGAGGTGGTGGCGCTAGTTGGTGATGTCCATGACGTAAACGTGTATGCGACGTGAGCAGATCTGACCAGAGTTTTGCATTTTGGGCAATGTAGACAGGAAACGCTACAGCAGAGCACATTCAACTTTTCCACTCTGGAGGGTGGTTTCAGATTTTTGCATTTTTAAGCCCCAAAAATGCCATCACCATCTAAACGAAAGGCACTTCGGATAAAATGTTTAGTCGTTTTTACCCGCAAAACGTTCTCATGTAAAAGGAGGCTACTACTGCTTCATGACGTCACAAGGCGGAACTTTGGAGCTTTGGAGATGCAGACTAACAACGCAGGGTTACGCAAACACATCTGAATGAAACAAAACACGACTCCAGATAATTTTATTGAGGTAACTGCATTATTACACGGCTTAAAATCACAAGAATCCATTTTGTGTAATACGGGACCTTTAAACCAAAATTGGAGCCAAACACGGTGATGGAAGAGCTCATGTTTTTCCACATTGTGCTGCCCATAATAAAAACGATCCCCTGAAAATGTAACGTAATCTGATTTGTGTGACCGTTTGCGTATTGGCGGGGGATGAGTGAAACCTGACGATGAGCTGCTCCTGTCTGCGGCTCGTCTGGACCCTGCACTGCCACATGTGTGTCCTGTGTGTATATATGTCCACTGAGGCCAGGATCACTTTCCACTGCATATGCAAAATACTCTACTGCTACTGCCACGCTAATTACTCTAGTAAACAGTATCCACAGAAACATTACTGAGATATTGAAATTGTTACGGGACAGAACTGTGGAGAGGAGAGCTCATATATTACATAAATTTTATTCTTGCAAGCTTTAAGTCGCGTTATAATATTAATAATTACCTCCTCAAAAACATACCTGGAGTTGTTTTGTTTCCTTCACACGTGTTTGAGGAATCCTGCTTTATTAGTCTGTCTACATCTCCAAAGCTCACCTTGTTCCACCTTGTGATGTCATGCAGTGGTAGTTTTCAAGTTAACAGCTCCTTTTACCTTTAGTTCAGTTGTTTTGGTAATTCCAGAGCTGAAATTATCCAAATGATTCAAGTGAAGTGGAGGTTAAAAACACAGTGGAGCACTTCCTGTAGCACCACATGACATCACAAGGTGGAACAGTCTCTGTACTCATCCTAAATATGCAGGATTTGTGCTTTAAACATGTGAGAATGAAACAAAACTCAACTCCATGTAGATTTGTGATGAGGAAACATTATAGCATAGATCCTAGTGTAATATGTGCCCTTTAATGCCTTACTGTGGAACATTTCAGACAAAGCAATAAGATCTCCTGCAGAAATGTTCCACAATGCACCTTTTTTAACTACTTTGCCTCACCTTATTATCTTTCTGTGTCCACAGTCATGCTGCAGCCCTTCGACTACGACCCCAACGAGAAAAACAAACACAAATTTATGGTTCAGACCATTTTTGCACCGGCGACCATCACTGACATGGATTTGTTGGTGAGTATCTGCGCCCCTGGAGGAAGTCTTAAGTACAGTCATCAAAAGTATCGAAAAACAAATAGTAATCAATAATAAAGCTAATACTGAAATTTGAGCAAGTGTCGATAATGCGAAAAATCCCGCAGCTTCTCTGAACAGTTTTAATGATTTTGGGCTTTATCAGAACGAATATAAGACCTCATTCTAAGATAAAGTACTGTTATATTGTATATGAAATTACATTCTGTCACTAAAGTATACTTTTTAAGTGGTATACTAATCTGTTTCTAGTATGGAGTGAATTCCTTGATATAAAAATTGAGTTTTAAAAGTTTGTAGCTTGACAATCAGTATCCACCATCCAAATACTAATTGATACTTAAACTAGTATTGAAACTAGATACTCATTTGAGCAAGTATCAAGGCTTAAATAAGATATGGACATTATTTTTCAGGTTTGTTATGATTTATAGAGGATAGTGTACCAAAATTCACTATTTAAGCACTGATATCTGAAGAATTTTAATAATACTCAGCCCTACAATTGATTTTAAACATGTATTGTTTATAAATTTTGAATTGTATGAATTTATTCCAGATTAATTTTTTGCTTCTAGAAAATCTGGTTGCTTTTCATTTTGCATTTCAGATATTTTAACCATATTCTAAAAGTAAAAGTGAATTAACTCTCCATAATTGGTGATTTGTGATCATCAAAACGTGTGTGTACAAGGAGTTTTATTGTTTTGCCAATTGCCCCTCAGAATGTACTTGACTTTACAAATGTGGACACCAGAGGGCAGCAGAAGCCTGTTCATTCACGGAGCTTAGTTGGAGATCGCTCATAAAACAAAAGCGGTTCTATTTGACTAGAAAGTCAAACAATTATGTGGACATCGGGTTATTCATTACGAAAATCAGAATTGCACAAGTAGTAACAACACCTGGACCAAACCTGACCCACAGCTGAACCCGGCCACAGTCAGAGGCGGGTAGAGGAGCCATAAATGGTACTCCAAGTAAGAGTAACTTGACCTACTCTTACTCACTTTACTCTACAAAGTAATGTTTTTCAAGAAGTACAAAGTAATGGCCCAAGAAATGACTTAAGATTTTTTAAAGTATTTGGAAAAACTACTCCTGAAATAAAAGTAATTCTTGAGTAATTATCTAGATCTGATTTATAATTCACAGATTTTTTTTTATTTATAATTTAATTTGTATAAAAGTTAGTAATGCACAAAATCTGGTACAGACCACAATAATGAAAACAAAAAACTAAATTATATCTGAAGGAGCTCTGCAAGAAACACAAATCTCCAAATCATTTACTATTGTTGACATAAAGCTTTTGTCACTTGGAGACTTACTTTTACTAAAGTTTTTACTTAAGTAAGAGTACTGTTACTTTAAAAAAATGTTACTCAAGAAGGAGAAAAAGTATGCTGCTAGAAAAGTTTTCTGAAAAGTGCAATTTCTGTAAAAAGTTACTCAAGTAAATATAACTGTAACTGTTAGGGATGGGCATTCAATGAAATTTTCTTAATCGATCGTCGGAAGAATTAACAATCGATTATCGATTAATCATTAACGTTTTTATATTAAAATGATCATTATTATTATTACTATCTGCACTACTAATCTGCATAAATAAATTCAACTTTACGACATATAAACCGTAACGACTCTAGAGCCACATCAATCTGTTTGACATTGTAATGTGTTTAATTCAGTTTTGCGCAACTCTCACAGAAACGAAACTTAAAACCGCATCGCTAATTTGCATAAACTAAGCAAAGATAAAAGTACAGCTCTTGTGCGCTGATGCAGTCAATTTCTGTCGGATTAAAAGACATGACTCAGTGGAATACTGTTTGGTCACGCTACGCACAGCAACCTGCATTCGGTTTGTCGATTAAAATTGACGTAATCGATGAAATTCTTAATGATCAATTAGCGATTAATCGATTAATCATGCCCATGTCCCTAGTAACTATCAAAGTCTAAGATAAGAAACAGGTCTAAATCAAGAAACTCAAACCCATACTACTGAACTCTGCTATGAAATTCCATCATTTGTGTGTATGTGTGTGTGTGTGTGTGTGAGTGTGTGTGTGTGTGCGTGTGTGTGAGTAAGGCTGCAGCTGTGTGAATAACTGCCCTGTCTCTTGTTCAGTGGAAAGAAGCCAAACCCGACGACCTCATGGACTCCAAACTCAGATGTGTGTTCGAGATGCCTTCTGAAAACGATAAAGTGGTAAGAAACTGTGCACACACCAATAACCACACTCACTCTCATACACTGTCACTGCTCAGACTGACACGACGCTGCAGAGGAGCGACTTTTACATCAGCTTCCATGTTTTGTTGCTGTGAGGGGAGGAGGAGAGGATGTAAAGCCCCAATATGGAACTTTACAGCTTTTCTCTTTTGATTGATCTTCCACCCCTTGTATACATTCATTAATTCACTGTTGGATTGCCTTAGTTACTGTTGTGCTGTTGTGTTTTCGCTCAAAGTAGTGGTTCAAGAAGAAGTAGAAGTAGGAGTAACTTAACTTAAACTTTTAGGGCTAAATATGAAATGTTAATCCTTTCCACTCACCTTATGGTTTGAGATTATAGTTTTTTAACATTCAAAATACTGTCAGTGCATTTATTGTCGTCTCTTTAAAACAAAAGGCGCAAAAATGGTAAAATTCCATGACTTTTCCAAAACTTTCATTAAATATACAAAATTTCAAGACTTTTACCAGGCCTGGAAAATGACATTTTGGATTTCCATGACTGTGGGAACCCTGTAAAACAGTAACTGGGCATAACATCTGATTTATAATTTCAATTTAATGTATTTGGAAGGACAAAACATTAAAAGCCACTTGTAGACTTACTCTCAGTGGGAAGAGTAACCCACACTTTTACTCGAGTAAGACTATGCTGCTTGAAAAGTACTCTTAAAAAGTATAATTTCTTTAAAAAGTTACTCAAGTAAATGTAACTGAGTACTACCCACATCTTCTAATTAATACTAAAACCAGCAAAACTACCATTTACAATAAACTTTGGTCATTAAGTCACAAAACATCTGACCTCAACTTCTTAAAACTCAAACCTCAATTCTACTAAAAATAAATAAATAAATAAAATAATAATAATAATATGCAGTGTTTTTGTTGAACAATTAATTGAAATCCGTGTCAGCTGGATCCACAAACCCTGTGTTATTTAGACGTCTACAGGAATCATCTGAAATATGACCCGTGTTCATATTTCAGTCATACTCTAATGTTGATACTCTTAATCTTTGTTGACTTGATTTAAAGGGCTGAGCTTATATTAGGATGCTGTTACCTCATCAAAAACATGCCCAGAGTTGTTTGGTTTTATGCACACGTGGTTGAGCAACGCTTTATTGTTAAGCTGTCTACATTCCCAAATACACAACCATAAATTGTTGCCCTTTTTAATCTGTGTATCATTCGTTCATTCGTTTTTTCAGAATAAAAACAAACATAACGAAAATGGAAAAAAACATTTTCTTCATTATTTGTCTCCAAAACCAAAATGTAAAAACAGGTAACAGTTAGATTTTCAGTTTTTGATTTTGGGTTTAAATTAATAATGGAAAAAAACGGATAAGGGCTGACTTAAACTGCAATGCCGGACTTTTCTGCCGCATATGGACTGAACCCAGACGAAAGCAGGTCAAAAGCAGGACTAAAACCAGGACGAAAGCAGGACTAAAACCAGGATGAAAGCAGGACGAAAGCAGGAATAAAACCAGGACGAAACCAGGACTAAAACCAAGGACTAAAACCTAGGACTAAAACCCTAGGACTAAAACCTAGGACTAAAACCTAGGACGAAAACCTAGGACGAAAACCTAGGACGAAAACCTAGGACGAAAACCAGGACAAAAAGGACGAAAACTAGGACGAAAACTAGGACGAAACCTAGGAAACCTAGGACGAAAACCTAGGACGAAAACCTAGGACGAAAACCAAGGACGAAAACCAGGTTTCGTCTTGGTCTCAGCACTGGCCTCAGCACTGGCCCCAGTCTCGGTCTCAGTCCTGGTCTGGTCTCGGTCTCAGTCCTGGTCTGGTCTCGGTCTCAGTCCTGGTCTGGTCCCGGTCTCAGTCCTGGTCTGGTCCCGGTCTCAGTCCTGGTCTCAGTCCCAGTCTGTGATCACTTGACAGTCTACGTGGGTGCACCTCTGGGCCTGTCCTGTTTCAGTCCTGTTTCAGTCCTGTTTCAGTCCTGGTTCAGTCCTGGTTCAGTCCTGGTTCAGTCCTGGTTCAGTTTAAGTCACGGAAACGGCCGTTACGTTTTTTTTTCCATCATTCATTTAAACACAAAATTGAAAACTGAAAAAACGAATCATTATCTGTTTTTTCATTTTGGTTTTGGAGACAAATAATGAAAGCAACAAAACTCCAGGTATGTTTATGACGAGGAAACAACATGATAACAGATAGATAAAAGTGGAAATGAGTCTGAATTGTTTTTAAAAGGGACCATATTATGCAAAGTGGAAAGCTATTGGAGTTTGTCTGCGTTTGTTCTAATTGTGTGTTTGAATGACATTGCCGCGAGCTACAGTCCAACAGTTATCCTCAAGTCTGCAGTTTGTGCCAAGGAAAACATTGTGAACTAAACTTCAAAACGCCCAGAGAGGAAGCGCCTCTGTCCAAGAATCCAGTTTGATGTGGGAGACGACATTACAACATCGAGAGACCAAACCGCACTGTGGAACCGTTTTTATAAATGACAAATCTGAGCCAATGAACTCATGATGTAATGTGAATATGTGATATTAAAGGGCCCATATTACACTATTTTTTGATTTATTATAATGTTGTTTCCTCATCACAAACAGACCTGGAGTTGTGTTAACGCACACAAACCCTGCATATTTTCTTTTCTGTGTTCTTTCCTGGGGACTCTAGGGGAACAAGGAACAGTGTCTAACAGGTCTAACAGGTGTCCACATAAAACCTGCAGCCAGGTCCTTGTGATCAGATAAACTTTAATCTTGACAGTCTATTGTGATGTCACCAACTATCGTATTTTGTGGATTTTAAGTCGCCCCAGAGTATAAGTCGCACCAGCCAAAAAATGCGTAATGAAGAAGAAAAAAACATAAATCACACTTTTTGGGGGAAATTTATTTTATAAAATCAGAGACCAGGAACTGACATTTAATCTTGTAAGGCAAGTTCTAGTAATAACAATAGAACAGAGAACAACAAACTGTTAACGTCACATATGAACACTTCTTCAGATAACTGTAGTACAGAACAGAACAAGTTTACCAAACTCTCCATCTCACTCCAAATCACTAAATCCACTGAATTCTTCATCCTCTCTGTCACTTCTGAACAACTCTGCGACCTTCCTCTTCTGTGTAGCTGTCGTCAGACTCGGCATCAGTTCCAGTTAGAATTATTCCGGCCTTTCTGAATTTTGGCAGGATGGTTTCGGTGTCATTGAAGTTCAGGCTTTGTCGATCCATCCAGTGACTTCAGGAAAGTTACATGACACACCCGCCCGTTTACCGTGAAGCTGTGTTCTCCATCCCCGCTTTCCACCAGTCCCTATCACAAGTTTCTCTCTCACTCCAAACTTTCTTTCTGCTGCTCGATTACCGTTTTCAGCTGAATATTTCACTATTTGCAGCAGGACAGCGGCTTTTTCTGAAGGAGACATGCGAAGTGACAGTGGTACAGGAGTAATAGGAGCAGCAAATACTGGCACAAAAGCCTAGAGCGCCTTCTCTAGATTTTAATATACAGGTCGCACCAGACAACAAGTTGTAGGACCACCCAAACCATGGAAAAAAAAGTCCGACTTATAGTCCGAAAAATACGGTTCTTGAAATTGCAGAGGCCAATGAAGCAGTACAAACTTTGATTTAGGCATTTTTGACCAGAAATCTGCAAATGTACCTAGTTTGCAGTAAAGTTATCAAAAATAAAAACACAATTTAAACACTATATACATGTTTAGTAGTGAAAAAAGTGAATTTTCGTGTTCCACCTTAAACCTTTCTACCTCTGGCTCTCTGTTCACGTCTTGTCTTATTTGTGTCACGTAGAACGACATAGAAACGATCAAAGCAGCGCCAATGGTGAACTCGGTGAAGCCGGAGCCCACAGCCGCAGCGGTGTCCGGCTCTGTGGACGACGCGGAGGTGAAGAAGGTGCAGGACAAGTACAAGAGACTACAGCAAGAGAACGGCAAGCTCAGTGAGGAGATCCGGCAACTAAAGGTACGTGTTTGAAGTAGTACCAGCCATTTATGCACTTAATATACATAGATGTTTGTGTAATGTTGTAGTTGAATGTTTTGGGGTTTTTTTTTGTGGGTGATGTGATTGTTTTCAGTACAAATCAGCTCACCTGTTGCAGTTCAAACTAAGTAAATTAATTATGGTCTGATAGCCTTAAAGAGGAGGATATATCACAAAACCGACTCTTTGGAGCTTCATGTTATAACCATCGCCTGTATTAAAAAGTGGACTAATCGAGTGTGACATCACCCACAGCGATCAGCCCCACTCAAAATGAAGTTCTCATTGCGAAGGTTACAATAGCAAATCTAGAGCCAGGCTTCATATTTGGAAATCCGACCGCAAGTATCAGAGCAACCACAAGAGCCAATCATGACTGAGGTCGTTAAATGTGCCCACCCTTCTCATTGGAAAGTTGGAAGGAGGCTTATTTAGTAACTAGGGATGTAACAATAACCAAAATATTGTGATATCGTATCGTCTCACAATAATACCGTGGGCTGTCACAGTATATTGAATTACAAGTTCCTTTGCTTAAATGCATTGTTTTATTGTAGCAACAGCTTATAAACATTGGGAACTACATATCCCATGATGCATTTCAGGCCAGACAACATGAAGAAATATGTTTTTTACTTGAATTTTTAGGATTATGACAGAAATATTTCACACCAAAATCTTGTCAGGGTATTTTAAAATTAAAAAAGTTTCCTTTCTACATTTATATTAGCCTCTTCAAAATATTGTAATGAATATCGTACCGTGACATGCATGTCGTGCATATCGCATTAGCTGTTAATCAAACCAAACGCAAGCAGGAGCGACTTCTTGGAATGAAGGCATCTGATTGGTCCGTCATTTATGTTCATATCTTAATTTAGGGACCAAATAGCAAAATGAAAAATTCAGGATCATGTAGATTGGGTTAATATTAAAATTTTAAGGCCAAATTGATGAGGCTCACTGCAGCAGTTACAGAGAGAAGGGCAACAAGATCCCAGTGTGAGTCAATTAGAGCCAGAGTCAGAAGGAGCCGGAAGATCCTCCTGGCGAACTTCCTATTTGGAACGCAGCGGGTAGCACATTAGTTATGTCCATTTATATATACGGTCTATGGTTAGAACGTTGTTTCCTTACCAAAAACATTTCTGAAGAGGTTTTAGATGTCATCCATGGTGGTTTGAGTAATCTAGCGATCTCTCCCAGGACATACTCAAATCCTTCTGAGAGTTGGCAATACAATTCTGTCCAATGCTCTGCCCACAAGCATGTGCCACCAATGCTACTGAACAGCAAATTTCCATAAATATACAGTGTTTCCCGCAGCGAAGTGGTTAGGGCAAGGGATTCCATGCATGGAGAAAAAGAGATTAACGGGGAGGCTGACGAACATAGTTTTGCGACATGAATCCTTTTGTGAGGATTCACGCGGTTTGAAGGGACGTTGTGAAGGCGTGGGCCAATCTTTGTCAAGGCTGCTGCCATAACAATAAAGCGCTGTGGGAAACACTGATATACAGAAATATGATGGAAAACAAACACTACAACTTCCCAAACCTGATGTGATGCACGGCGATTGTGTTGTGATAGCGCTCTGGGGAGCAAAGAGAAGAGAGACTCAAAACGTCAAAAACTGAAACTGATTATACATTTGAAGATGTTTTCAGTGAATATAGAGTTTTCAAAACAATAAAAGGTAACATGGTGTTCTAAATATGTTTTGTTTTAGCAGTTAATACCCCACAGAAGTAAAATATCTCTTCTTTAAAATAAAGATCAGATTACTTTTTGATAACATCACTTGAAAGGTGTTTGAATGGAAGGAATGAAATAAAACACAACTCCAGACTTGCTTATTTTGAGAGAAGAAATTAACAGCTCAGAAAATAGTGTAATATGAAATGTAATAATGAAGAAAACCTTGTGTCTTGTGCGCAGGAGGATAACCTGAGGATGAGGAAGCTGCCGCGCACAGACCACATGAGCACCAACTCCACCGGGCTCCTGGCCAGAGAAGCCAGCGTCACCTCCCTGCCCTCGCTCTGCGTCGTCATCGCCGCCATCTTCATCGGCTTTTTCTTGGGGAAGTTCGTCTTGTAAAATAACATCAACTACAACAAAAACAACATGTCTCCCCAAACGACGAAAAATCTGAAAAAACAGGCTCTACGCGACAACTAACAAAGTCCTGGGTTGACTTTTACCATATCATTTGGTCTCGCGTGACCAATTCAGCGACATCATTTGAAGTTGTCTTTTTTACTCTGCTCTCACGGTTTAAAATCACAAAAAGAGTGCGAGAAAGTCAACGAAATCTATTTTGGTTTTTTTGGACGGATGATTTTGCTGATCACGAAAGGCAACGGACAATGTTAGAAGCTGTATCAGTACGGAAGCGACACCCGTGGGCGCGAGGCATTCAGAAAAGATAATTCTAATAACTCATAATTTTCCTCGGTTTTTAATAGGATATGGAATGTCAGGTGTCTTGTATATGTTATTTTAAAATCCTTTTAGACACGCAAGGAAAATTCAGTCGGAAATAAGCGGTTTTGAAGCAGGAAATTGGCTCGGTGTGCGGCAACTTTGGCTGGTTCTGGTTCACTAAACTGCGAGATTGTGTATGTATTCGGGATTAAACTATTCTCGCTCAGATAAACCAATATTTAACGATTATACAATAGACAGAGCGACGCTGGTGGATGATCCTGACTGCAGATTAAAGATGCACCATATCATTTTTCTGCCTGTCTCCATGGAGCTGTGATCACATTGACAGGAATCGATTACAGTAGATCAAAAATACCTTGAGAAACGCGCATTCTCAGTGAGTTTTGAGGGGTTTTTTTCCAATGTGAGGTGTTAAAGCTGCACTGTGGAACTTTTCTGGTGGGTCCGTCATAATCCACATGACATTATTTACACATTAAAGCGTCTATCTCCATGGAGACAAGCCGGTCAGTTCTGTGGAGAGGCAGCCCTGCTCACTGTAAGAACGCACGCTTTCAGTGTATTTTTAGCGATTAAACTCGTAACTTGTAATTAAATAAATGCAAAATGGGTACGTTTTGTTAGTTGCCATGGTTACACAAGGCACACATAAGCAAACACAGCCTGATACGTTTCTAGATTGCCTCAGAACTCATGGAAGAAACACAAAATGGTTTAAAACGACACATTTTCAGACGCCTGAGGTCAATACAAGCGTTCATGGACCTGTTTAGGAGTTTGATTTTCAGCAAAAACAGTGAGAGACAAACTGAAAAACTGTTGCAGTGTAAATTTAATGTTACGTGAGGAACTTTTTTAACAAACTCAGCTGAGAAAATTAACTTATCTACTGTATTTCTTGCTAAAACAGTTCTTTCAGGTCAGACTGTGCGAAAACAAAGCTCAGATTTACGTCCAACTCGAGTAACAGAGCTTCAGACGGAGAAGTGCTTCTAGTTAGCGTCACTTTAATGACATCAGCTGCAAAGTCTCAATAGCGCACTGTGGAACATTTCATTAAAAAGTGGCGATATCTCCATGGAGACGAGCTGGCGGGCGCTCCAACAGTGAAAAACGAAAACACCTTCCTTTACGATCAAAGAAGTAGTAGTGTTTTGTTTTTGTTTTGTTTTTTTGCTTTCTGTAAGTATCCTGTCTTAAATCTTAAATATTTCTTTAACTTGAGCGAGATTTGACTCTAAAGGAGCAGTTTGTTTAACCAGAACTATCCTGGCGTTGCCGTACAGAGTCTTTATCCTCCATTTTGTTCGATTTGTGCTTTCTACACGTCTTGAATGTCAGGTCCAGCTGGGGATTATAGGTGCCTCTCTTGTACATTTCTGTCTACTCCTTCCTGACCACACCAATGCAGACTTTATATATATTATTATTATATTATTATTAATATTATTATACAAATCCTATATTCCTTCTGAGGCGATTATTGACTGAACTATGGTCTCCATTCTTACAATCCTGTCCCATGGTATTAAGCATTGAAGAAATAAAAATGAAAAATGTGGTTTTGATACCAGCCTCTTTTCTGTGTCTTATTTTAAAAGAAATGATTCATGCTACACAAGGATTCAACTTTTACAGCAACTACTTTTACTATTAGCAGAGTCATGGAAATCCTGGAAAAGTCATGGAATTTTAGTATCTCTTTCACCCAACTACAGCGTTCTGTTAAGTTATCATTAGACTATTATGATTATTTCTGAACTTATGCACCTTTTTGTTTAAAAGAGACGACAATAAAAGCACTGACAGTATTTTCAATGTTAAAAAACTATAATATCAAACCATAAGGTGAGTGGAAAGGGTTAACATATTTCATATTTAGCCCTAAAAGTCCATGTCAATTCTACACATGTAGGTGCCGTAAAGTCATGGAAAATTCACTTTAGGTCAAAGAAAATTTTTCAAATTTTGTCAGTGAAAAAGAGTGGAAACCCTGTATTACTGTTACTCATGAGATATTAGTTTTGCTTAAAGTTAAAAGAGTAAAAAATGGTGCTGCAAACTGAAGACACTTCAATTAAGGGCCTTACTTTATTATTATTATATTTTTTTGACGAAACAGAAAAATGAAAAATGGCGCTTAATAGTTTCGCTAAGCTGGCAACTCTGTAAAAAAATAAAATAAAATAAAAACATACAAAAATGGTCCTACCTAGAGTTTATGGAAATTGCTATTGTGGAATTTGAGGAAACAGGTGTAGTATCTGGCAACCCAAAGCAAGAAGTTCAATTAGTAGACTGGATCTTCAGCTTCATACATAAAATAATAAAAATAATAAATAAAAATGGCTTGGATTTGTACAGGTTTTTATTCCATTATATTAAATAGTTATGGTACATAGTAATTGTAGGAAAATAAGTCAGAAGTGTCCAGTTTTTCTGACACCAAGGGCCACAAATGGAAACATTCGTAGTATAGGGCTGCAGAGTCATGGTCAATACAGCTCAATAGATGCACCTGACATAGCACCACTGCAGGCTTGAAACATTAATCAGGGTTCCCACACTGACAAAATTTCAAAACTTTTCCATGATTTTTTTCATGACCTAAAGGGAATTTTCCATGACTTTACGGCACCTACATGTGTAGAATTGATCAGACTTTGAGGGCTAAATATGAAATGTTGACCCTTTCCACTCATCTTATGGCAGTGTTTCCCAAACTTTTTTTTTCTGGGGACCAATATTTTAAAAGTCACAAAATTTCGTGACCCAAGTCATTAGACATTATTCGTATATCAAAAAATAAAGTTGGATTTGACCATTATTGAACATTAATGAGGATATTTTATTGTTGACTGAGTGATCGTGTCTCTCTAAACAATTAGTATTACTCAAGTTTTAAACAATGAAAAACATTGAATCAGCAGTAAAAGGATCAATAAGTCACCTATTTGGACATTAAATGTGAATGTAAATGTTTCTTTTTCTTTTCAACATTCAATTGAACCAGCAATATTGGAACAAAACAGTTTATAAAATAATTACCAAAAGATTATAAAAAATTGTACAAAACATGTCTTAACATTTCAACATTTCTAATGAGATAGGTGGGCCTGTCTGCGTTTTTGTAGCGTGTTCCAGTCCGGATGCAGGAGGAGAGCGCAGCAGCAGATCAGACGCAGCATTCAGTCTGTTTCTGTGCTTTGTCTTCATTTTTGTGAGCACAGAAAATCTCGTGTCAGAGCTGTATATTGCAGACCTACATGCAGATCATGACAAGGCAACCCAAAAAAATCTCCTGTGACCCACCTGAGGGTTGCAACCCAGTTTTTGGGAAACAATGCCTTATGGTTTGGTATTATAGTTTTTTAACACTCAAAATCCTGTCAGGGCATTTATTGTCATCTCTTTTAAAAACAAAACATACATTTAGAAATAATCATAATGATTATTTCTATAAAGCTAATGATAACTTAACGGAACGTTGTAGTTGCGTGAAAAAGATTTCAGGCCTGGAAAATTACACTTTGAATTTCTTTTGACTTTTCCAGGATTTCCATGACTGTGAACCCTGATTAATTTTAGGTCAAAATCACAATACAGTATGATGTTACTGGGGTTATAGTGGTAGAATTACTTGAATTTGAAGAATTACACTGCACTGTCTGTGATTAAATTGGCCAGATCAGTACGGAAGCCGAGAGGGGTCACAACAAACACAAACGCCGCAACAAATACAAATGCAACAACACAACAAAAAGCCACAACACACCAACAAAAGCCACAACGGAAATGACAGCGGGACTCTATTTTCCGACGGACCGATCAAGCAGCAAGTGAAGAAGAAGAACTACAACGTGAAACGAATAATGATAAAACAATAAATTACTTTTACTTACGTTTCCAACCTCTCCGTTCCTTTACTTTTCACGTTGTAGTTCTTCTTCACTTGCCGGCTTTTTGATGTGTTGTGGCTTTTTAATGTGTTGTGGCTTTTTGTTGTGTTGTCGCATTTGTATTTGTTGCTGCGTTTGTGTTTGTTGTGTCCCCTCTCGGCTTCCTTAGATCAGGCATGATTGACAACATAAACTGGTTCTGGGGTCACATTTGGTCCCTGGGCCACAGTTTGGACGCACCTGCTATTTCCTGAATAGACTAGTACACGTACATGGTCCTGGCGACTGAGGGATTACACAGATATCAGACCACGTGGGAATATAAAAGAAAGTATTTAATGTTGAAAATAATCTATTGTATTGTAGTTTTTTTGTTACCATAGTATCAGAATTGCATATCAAGTCTACTCCTTTAGTATCAAGTTTGAAATTTTAGTATCGTGACAACACAAAGTTATAACATGGTACTTAAACTGGGTATTTTCCGTGTTGGTTTTCTTCGTAGTATTTAAACAAATTACCCGTTGTGGCGTGACATTGGTACTGACAAGAAAACCAAAATTTGGCAGACGGGAGTTTTTGGGTTTGATGGATAAAACACACCTCATTGTCCTTGCGCTGGAGTCTGTATTTGGGGCATTCGGCGCCACGGTCTTTCTAATCCTCATCTAAATGTACGGGAACTCGAGTCTGCTCTGTTATTTTCACTGTGTTGAAAAGAAAATGACGTGTGGCCCAAAGACTGTCCCACAATGACACTAGTTTGGGTTTTAAAGAAAGAGTAGAAGAGCAGTCTTTAAAGGTACACTATGTAACTTTTTGGTTGTTATTGTTCTGCCTGGAATGTTCCACAGTATCACATTAAACAACTCGGCCTTACATTTATTAAATTACAGGTGAATATAGCTCAGAAATACCTACAAAAACAGACATTCTGACTGTGAACGGGGTTGCCTCGTCACAGATCTGACCTGTAACTTGATCTGGTTTAGTCTCCATGACGATGGAAAGGATGACTTAATGCCATACTGTGAAACATTCCAGACAAAGCAATAACAACTCAAAGGAGAAAAGATTTTGATGGAAATATATTTATCATTTGTTCATTTGTTTTTCAAAATAAAACCAAAAATAAGAAAATGAAAAAACAATTATTTTCGTGATTATTTATCTCCAGAACCAAAATGAAAAAACAGATAATGATTAGTTTTTTTTTCAATTTTCAATTTTGTTTTTAAATGAATAATGGAAAAAAACTGGTAATGGCCGTTTTCTGTCTCCGTGACTTAAACTATGATGCCGGACTTTTGCACTGCCTACAGACTGAACCAGGACTGAACCAGGAATAAAACTGGACTAAAAGAGGACTAAACCAGGTCTAAACCAGAACTGAACCGAACCAGAATTGAACCAGGTCTAAACCAGGACTAAACCGATCTCAGTCCTGGTCTCAGTCCCGGTCAGGTCCTGATCACCCGACAGTCTACACCTGGGCCCGTCCCGACACTCAGTCCTGGTTTATACCTGGTTTAGACCTGTTTCAGTCCTGGTTCAGTCCTGGTTCAATCCGGCATCACAGTTTAAGTCACGGAAATGGGAAACAGCCGTTATCCTTTTTTTTTTTTTTTCTATTTTCATTCAATTTTTATGGAAAACTGAAAAAACAAATCATTATCCATTTTTCTTCATTTTGGTTTGGAAGACAAATAATGAAGAAAATAGTTGTTTTTTTGTTTTCTTATTTTTGGTTTTATTTTGAGAAACGAATGAACGAATGATACACGGATTGACGGATCCTCCATCGGAAAAGTTTAAAAAGTCAAATTAGTCATAAACGTATAAAATTCTACCTATATTTGGCTCTGATGTCCAGCCCTAATTGCACAGCTCACAAAGACACTTTTAAAGGCATAAACATACAACACAGTTTTACATAAGGACAGTTTTATTGGATAACAAGAGTAAATCAGTAGAAAACTTTAAACTTTGGCTACAGTATTGTATGATAACTTCCCTTTTTTTGTAAACACTCTGACATAAATTCATGAATCTCCACACGATACACAGGAGCTCCGTGTGGACAGAGGCGGGTAGTAACTATTTACATTTACTTTTACTATTATCTTGTAGTTTTATCAGAATATACCGTATTTAAACATCATGTATCAGATGTGAACCGTGTATTCGAGCAACTTTGTCTTGCCTGAGTACAGATATATGGTAAACCGAACTCTCGAGGTCAAAATAATTATACAGCTTTTTCTCATATGTACTTTAACACCGTATTGTAAAGTAGCAGTACTCTTATCCAAGTACCCACCTCCGTTTAGTTTATATTATGTAGAAAGTACAGTTTAAATGTACAGTAAAGTGCAGTTCTTGTGGTGCAGCAGAGTCTCTGTCTCTTCAATGGTCCATGTTTTATTTTTAATTTCGTTGTTTTATCCACTCCAGGCTTGGGAAGTCACGATGATCTTGACAAAAGGAAAAACTTATTGGTAAACACATGGGCAGTCCAGTCCTAGTTTCGATTTGCTTTACTGAATAACTTCGATACAACAACAATGTATGAGAGAAAGGCTTAGCTCAGGGGTGTCAAACTCATTTTGGTCCGGGGGCCGTATCCAACTTACTTTGATCCCAAAGGGGCCGGATCAGAAAATTCATGTCATATAAACCCCAAAAATAACAATAAGTTCAAATATTTGTGCAGAGAAACACAAATCTATTATTTTTTTAATTGATGAACTCTTTCTTTTACAAAATATTATAATATTATGAACAAAAAATACAATTTCAACACGATGTTTTAACATGAACTTGTTTTACATTAACTTGTATAAATAGGAATAAGTCAATTTTTCTTGGAAAATCCTGCACTCGGCTCCACTTTTCTCATTTTTGACATTTTGCTGATGAGGTGTCACAGTCAACAGTCAAAACGATCGTCCTTTAAGAGCGTTTGGAAAGATACAAGTCTTTTGTGCTGCTCTGGTGGGAGGGGCCACGTACAGAGACACTGGAGACACTGCTGTGATAAACGCCGCAAAATTAACAATATTTTAATAAACAATAGAATTTAAAATATTTTAGTAGAAAATCAGCCGAGGGCCAGATTAAAGGTCTTGGAGGGCTGGATCTGGCCCCCGGGCCGCATGTTTGACACCTGTGGCTTAGCTGATTCACATCACAGGGGAATTTTGATTAAAGTTCCTTCCGATATTACACAAAATGGATTCTTCCGAGATTTAAGCCATGTTGTAAAGTTGTTATTTCATCAAAAACATACCCAGAGTTGTGTTTTTTTCATTCACATGTTTGAGTTACTCTTTATTATTAGTCTGTTTACATCTCAATTAAGTTTAATTTTGAATGATCATTTTCATTTGTTTACATGGTCTTTTTAAAGTGAAATACATTTTTATTCAGAATTAAAGCTCTCATGTAAACGTGGTAAGTGTGTTAAAAAAAAAAAAGAAGTTCAGATTAAAGTCTAACAAAGCCTCAGACGGGGCAGTGCCTACAGTTAGCATCGCACCCACAGGGAATGTTGACGGCATCCGCTGCAAATATCCTGGTTAGTGCCCAAAGCCTGATTCTGTCCCTTACTTCTTCTCCATTTTATCTACAGTTTACTCCATTACTAACTACTATACAACATTTCCACGACAATCAAAACAAAAAGCAACAATATGGATTTCTGTTTTAACGAATGCTGCCCTGAACTGTCATTAAAAAGTCTGTGCGTTCTTTCTATTCCTTCTCCACTGTTATGAAACCCAGGGAGCCCAGTACTGCCCGAGCACTGCACCAGAGGAGACTGATACGACGTCGCCCTCTTCTCGGGTTGGTCCGGGCTCGATCCGTCGCTGGGCCTCTGTCCGTTGAAGAGGAGGTAGTTCCCGTCGGCGTCCTGGTCCATTCGGAAGAGTTCGTACTCGGTGTGTGGCAGACGGATTCCCAGCGCCAGGCAGCCGTTGGTGCCCGTGACGTCCTGCTCGATGCCCACGTGCCAGGACCGCTCCGCCCCGCACTCGTCCCCGCTGAAGACGTTCAACAGGGAGGTGGTGGCCAGGTCCATGGGGGTCACGCGCATGTGATTCACTGGAAGGAAACGGAGGTAAGTTAGTGTGTTACTTTAAAAGTCCGATATTATGCAGAATTGACTATTGTGAGCTTTAAGTCACATTAGAATGTTGTTAGTTCGTCAAAAACATACCTGGAGTTATAAAAAAAAAAAAAAGCAACGGTATCAGTTTCATTACCGTCATTAAAAAAATCTGCAGCACATAAGGACCTAATAAGGACCTTGCTCAGCACAAATTAATGTGTGGTTGTATTTTCAATTTAATTCTATCTTGATTAAAACTAATAGTGTGTCTAATGTTTCTTTTAACTGCGTGGGGAGATGATGTTCGATTAGTTTCGGTCCATTGTCACGTGACGCTCATAAGAGAGACTAAGAAAAGACGGCAAGTCCGACCGCGAGTGAGTTGGTCTCAAAAGAAAACACTAGTACTTCTGCAATTTGACAGCATTTTGACTTCAGGTGCACATTTCTTTACGTTTTATAGAAACGAAACTTAAAACTCCGTTTCTCATTTGCATGAACTGTAAGAGCTGATAAAAACAGTTCACTTCTTGTGCACTGATGGGGTTCAGCTTTTGTCGGACTAAAGGACACGACTCAGTGGATTATGTTTTTTCAGCGACAGAGGTTGTGCTGCTGATGGTGAGTCTGTTCTGTGCTTCTATCGTGTTGGAGATGGTTCATGTTTAACTTTTTAGAGATTATAAATCTGCAGGTCATACACATCGACTGTATAGCGATGTGGCTTCACTTACCAAAGTCGTACTAAAACATTTTGGTAATACGGTAATACTGTTTACCCCGGTAAAATACAGAGACGGTTTAACGGTATCAAAATTTGGATACCGCCCAACCCTACCTGGAGCTGGGTTTTGTTTCATCAACACAGTATAATATGGACTATACCATAAGTATATATGCACCTCTGTGTGGTCTGAGAATCAGGAAGTGCATGTTAGCCTTAATGTCACAGTTAAACTCTGCACTGGCCTCTGAGAGCTGTGAAAAGTACTTATAAACTCATGGGGGTGAATTAATAATTAGGACGCTAAGAATACATTAGGAAAGTGAGGAATAAGTTTTACCACTGTTTTTACCGTTTGTCTGTGTACTTGAGTATAATGTGTCTATCCAAGTACAGACATTTACAAAATCAGCTGTCAAGACTACATGTGTATCTAATTATAACACGTTTTCAGAAAGCTTGTTGGCATGTTAGTAATTATTAGCTTTACCGTGATGTTAAAACTCTGCTCTGGGCTCTGAGAGTTGTGAAAAGCACTGAGGCTACGTTTATATGATGACGGTCTGAACAGAAGATGCAAAAGTGGCGTCACATCTTCACTTTTCATTACGTGTTTAGATGAGTGTTTTCAGGAGGAAATCTGCGTGCATACGGTGACGCAAAAGTGTGTGGAATTCGATTGTGTATGCATGTCAGGCAGCGAGCTGGTGACGCTAGGTGGTGATGGTATGTGACTTAAACGGTATGAGCAGATCTGACCAGAGTTTTGCGTCTTGGGCAGTGTAGACGGAAACACTACGGCGGAGTGTTTTCAATTTTTCCACTCTGGAGGGGGGTTTCAGATTTTTGCATTTTTAATCCCCAAAAACGCCGTCACCGTCTAAACAAAAGGCACTTCTGATAAAATATTTTATTGTTTTTACCCGCAAGCGTTGTTGTGTAAACAGGCCCTTAGAAACTCATCGTGGTGAATAATTAGAATGCTCAAATCCATTAGCAAACTAAGGACATTTGGATGACTGAAGTTATGTTTTTCACATTTTTAAGATACTTGTTGAGAGTTTGTAAATAAAATAGACAACTATTATTTTTGCTGACCTCAAGACTCAACAAATTAAAATCCATCTGGAGCTTTTAGGGCACAGTACAATGACCTCACAATGACTCCACAGCGCTCCCTGGTGGTCTAGTGGTTAGGATTCGGCGCTCTCACCGCCGCGGCCCGGGTTCGATTCCCGGTCAGGGAAATAACATTATGGAGGTTTTGATGCATTTCTGAGTGTACTGATTTGTTTGATGGTCAACAGATTTCTTCTTCAGTAAAAAGCAGCAACGACAATATGATTTACTGTACTTGATACAACTACATGAGCCTCTTTCAGGGGTTTGTACAGTGGCAGTGGAGTTGTGACAAGTCTAACGTCAGAGTTCCTCCCTGACATGTCTTCTAATTTGATCTGGTTGCTGTTTTGTCACTGTGCTGATTATGTGTAAGTTTGTTCTGAAATTATTCTGAAATTGCTTGAATTGCTGTAGATATGCTTAAACCGGAATGTCATCAATCATGTTCTTCAAAACTTCAGTTCCCTGACCGGGAATCGAACCCGGGCCGCGGCGGTGAGAGCGCCGAATCCTAACCACTAGACCACCAGGGAATGTGTCATGGGTCAGAGGTACAGCTGGGGTCGGCATTACAGGAACTTAAGATGACCTCATCCACAGTTTGTAATCCTGTAGCACAGTGGAATATTTCAGTGTCAGAGTTTTAACATGACACTGAAACACTCCCCGTCAGAGATTTGAGCTTTTAAAGACTTCAGTAAATGATTCATTATGTGGAGTTTTGAAAATCTTTAAGAATATGTAGCTGCTTCAAGACACAATCACATACTCTTTTAGACATTGTTACTGTGGTTTGTCATACGGTAAAGCTCCCCAACCGGGAATCCAACCCAGGCCACAGTGGTGAGATCCTAACCACTAGACCACCAGGGAATGCTGCAAAACATCCCAGTCTAACCTGTGACAGTCCACGCTGTGCTCAAAATCTCATGTCTAAATGTAATGATGGTAATATATCATCAGGTCCTCTAAATTATCCATACCCAAATCGTTCTCAGTTACATTTACTAGAGTAATATTTTAAATTGTACTTTTCAGAGTATCTTTCTAACAGCATAACTCCTACTTGAGTAATATTTTTATTGAAGTACTTGAGTAAAAGTTGTGGTTCCTCTTTCCACTGTGAGTAAGTCTTAAGTGACAAAAGCTTTATGTGACAATATGAAATAATAAGACCAGGCCAGACGGGGAATGAGACTAGAACCATACCGGGAACACACCAGGACTGGTCAGTTCTGGTTTAGACCTGGTTTAATCCTGTTGTAGTCCTGTTTTAAGCCTGTTTTAGTCCTGGTGCAGTCCTAGGATCAGTCCTGGTTCAGTCCGTATGCAGCATAAAAGTCCAGCATCGCAGTTTATGTCATGAAAACGGGAAATGTTATCCTTTTTTTTTTTTTTTTTTCCATTATTCATTTAAACACAACACTGAAATCATTATCTGTTTTTTCATTTGGTTTTGGAGACAAATAATGAAGAAAATAGTTGTAATTATGTTTTCTTATTTTTGGTTTTATTTTGAAAAACAAATGAATGAATGATACACAGATTGTGTACTAGTCTGTGTGCTCTTACACTTGTTCTGACACAGCTCAAGATCATTCTAAAATTATTCACTGTCCTGTGAATGTGACTTTTTTAATATCGATACTTGTTCTAACGAGTATGTAGTTTCAATACTAGTTTTAGCATCAATTAGTATCTGATTTTCGATACTTTTGACGACCCTAGTTCAAATCTTGCTTACCTTTAAACACAAACTCAGTCCCTCCCATCACCCTGGTGGAGTGCAGTCCTCTGCTGTAGCGCCCCCTCGCGTAGAGGATGAAGGTGGGGTGCCTGCAGACCGGGTCCGAGTAGTGGTAATAGCGTCCCTCCCAGGTGCGGTTGTGCTGGTGGAAGCTGAAGTGCCTGGTTAAAAACAGCACCTCGGGGCGAACCTCACAGCGCTGGCTCACCCACTGCCCCCACAGGCCCACGGTGAGGTCAGCGCGGGGCGGGAGGACTGGCGGGTGCAGCTCGTCCGAACGTGAGATGATACGACAGACGATACAGCCGGGGTCATGGTGCTGGAATGAGAAGGACTAATGTAAGGATTAGAATATACTTAAAGCTGCATTGTGTAACTGTTCTGCTGGAGTGTCTGTCAAATGCTTTTCTCCATGGAGATGTTGTTGCTTTGTCTGGAATTAAACCTTTCCCATGACCGCACTCACCGTCAGAATGCCTGTTTTTCTAGGTATATAAACGTAAAGTAGATCTTTTTAATATCATACTGTGAAACATTCTAAGCAGAGCAATGACATTTCCATAGAAAGAAGCAGGTGACAGACCCTCAACCGAAAAGTTACACAGTGCATGTTTAAAAACCTTTATCATTAGTTTACTCCAAGTTGTATTTCAGATGATTCCTGCATGTTTGAGTAATCCTGCATTGCTTTGCCTTTTGTTTTCACCTCCCCCTATCTCCACCCACTTCTCTGTACTTTTGGATTCTACTAACTGTTTCACAGAAATACAACCTTATTGTCCCAGTCCTAGATTAGGGAATGAGTTGCTCATTCACATTAGACAAGCTGACTCACTTCTTGCTTTTAAATCTCTTCCTAAAACACGTTTTTTTTTTCTTTAGCATTTAACTATCCATCCATCCATTTTCTTCCGCTTATCTAGGGCCGAGTCGCAGCAGTCTAAGCAGGGTCTCCCAGTCCTCCCGGTAGGACATACCGGGAATACCTCCCGAGGAAGGCGCCCAGGAGGCTTCCGGAACAGATGCCCGAGCCACCTCAGCTGGTTCCTCTTGAGCCAGCTGTTTTCTTTGGCGTTTAACTCTTTTGAGGTATTTTACTGTTCAATAATTGTTGCATGTAATCTGTGTAATTCCTCATTTGTCCAGACAGGATCCATGGTGCCATTCCTCTTGAGCATTGCTGGCTTCTAGTTCAAGTAGTCTGAGTCACATCCGAAAGTACTCAGATGATACGACTGTACTGGCAAGTATAAGGACTGGTCAGGGTGGACAACTTCAAACTTCAGCCAGCGGTGTAGTTATTAATGTTCTACTCTAGTATGACCTGAGCATAAAACTATTGCAAAATGTCTTAGTTCCCTGACCGGGAATCGAACCCGGGCCGCGGCGGTGAGAGCGCCGAATCCTAACCACTAGACCACCAGGGAGCGCTGTGGGTATAGCTGGGGTACCAAGTACAGCCACATGGTGGAGTCTGGCATTTGAGTTTCTGGTTACTGACACAAGACAATAGATATGTGACAAACAGCAGTGGGTCTCAGAAGGGAATACAAGTATATCACAAAAGTAGAAGATAAGGCAGGACAAGACCCCATTGGTACAAGTAAGAGTTGTAAGCCGTCTAAAAAAATTTGTTCTAAAACTGTCCCTGAGTCTGAACATTCATGTTGGTCATTTTGACACTTGTGCCCAAGGCTTTGTGAGAACCAGAAAACCTGTTACCGACTTCCTTCTTTTTTTACTATTTGAAAATGGGTTTGTAGCTTTATCGCACTGGACAAGATCCAAAGCAAATGAAAAATTCATTTCTGTCAAGTGGACAAAAGTTTTGATTGATATAAAATGACCTAATAACAGAAGCAGGACCATTGACTTCCTATTCTAAACCTTAAAACTGATCCACGCTTTTTTTTTTTTTTTATTTTTTTTTTTTTTTTATTAAAGACAGCAGAACATAACATTAAAAAAAAACAAAACAAACATCAACGTTTAACAATTGCAATATTCAACTAAAAACAAAAAACAAAGAAAAACCACAACACCACAACAAATACAAAAAAAAAAAAAACCATTTCCCCCCAACCACCCACACCAACACAAAGTCAAAACAATATAAATGTGATAGTGCAACATAAATACACCGCTAGGCTCCCGAACACTGATAGACTGCGGCCAATTTATAATTGAAGTTCCTTTTTGCTCTCTTCCTTCCCTTTTTTTTTTTTTTTTTTAAATTATAATTTTTTAAATGTATTAGTCCCTATACTCAAACTAATATTTATTTTCACCATCATCAGTTCCCCTCATTATCTTTCACCATATGTCACAATCTCAAAAAACATAACCCTAAAGGCATTTCTTTTTATTAATTATTACTGTTATTATTATCACTATTATTCCTACTATTATTTCCACTACCTTTCATCACTATTACTATTTTTATTATTATTAATTATTATTACATCCATAATACCTATTATTATCTCTACTATTAATTACAATAATTACAAACAATAATATTTCATTATTATTATTATCATTATCATTGGTAGTAGTAGCAGTAGTAGTAGTGACAGTAGTAGTAGCAGTAGTAGTAGTAGTAGTAGTAGTAGTGTCAGTAGTCCCCAATAGTAGATATATGAATATTATATAGATCCCGACTTTAAATCTTTATGGCCGACATCAGTTTATATGATATATTTGCAAATATATCACAGACTAATTTTCTCCCAGGTATTTAAGAACCTCCCATCTCTTTTTATACTTTTTTTTCTCTTTGTCTGTTTCAACTGTGTAACCTTCCCAGGTTAAGTACTGATAAATATATTTTTTTAAATAATTAATATTAAGTGAGAATTGGTTTTTTGCTTTAAAAATAAAACGTTTTCCTAGGGTTATAATTAAATTGACAGGATCACTTCTATTTTCAAAATCTCCTAGTAAAGCAGAGGCTAAATCCAACTTGAAAACCAAACCCAACTCTAAACACATCTTCTCTACCTCACTCCAAAAAGAAGATACAATGTGGCAGTACCAAAACAGATGTTCAGTCGACTCTACTTCCAAACAGCAAAAACGGCATTCATTAGTATCTATCATATTCCAAATTTTTAACATTTTCCTTGTAGGCAGAAAATTGTACATTATTTGATTTTTTGAAAAAATCTATTTTGTACATCAATATTGGTATTGTAAATTAATTTAAAAATCCACTCCCATGGTAAAGGAGAGTCAATTATGTCCTCCCACTTTCTAAATGTATTGTAAGGGATTGTCTTTAATGAGTTATATGATAAATAAAATTTATTTATTTGTTGGTTTATTTTTATTCCTTTCATCCAAATAGATTTTTTTGTTGATGGTTTACACACTGAAAGTTTATAAAACCCTTGATTTATTTGTTGCTTCCATTTCCTTCCCAGAGCTGTAATTATTTGATTATACGAGTAACGCGAACAAACATTACCATATACATTTGTAAATTCTTCATATTTCATGATCTTACCTTTTTCATTGGTTAGATCATTACAAAAATAATACCCTTTTCAAACATTTTTTTCCAAAAGAAAGGTTTCCTATCTATCACAATATTTGAATTGTACCATATGATCTGTTGTAGGATGTCATCTCTTTTTTCTGGTTTATGAAATTGGAAGCGCCACCATGCATGCAGACATTCTTTTTATAAAGCTAGATCTATTTCCAATCAAATTATCCACATATAGAAAGTGGGAGGGCATCAGTTGCAAAAAAGGGATACAGTTTTTTGCTGCCATAGTAAGTGTTTTTTGTCCAACAAAATACTCGTGTACCACTCTGTATTTAAATAAAGTTTTTGAACCATTGATGCTTTTAGAGAGAAACATAAAGCTTCTAAATTAAGCAGTTTAAAGCCTCCAGAGTTATAATCATTTACAAAACCCTCTTTGAATCTTTTCTGGTTTGCCATCCCAAACAAAGTCAAAATCTTTTGTTCATAGGTTTTAAAAGAAGTTTTGTGAAGGAGATGGTAATGACATAAATAGATATATAAATTGAGGAACAATAATAGAATTAATAATAGATACTTTCCACGCTTCTTAAGCAAGCAGCAGATTTTTCTTCTTATTTTTTTATTGCTAAAAAATGTCTGTGACAAATCTTAACACAACATGAATGAACAAAGCACTGTAGACAAGGATAAACCATGTGTTGCAACATACGTGCAGTACAGTAAAAATATATGGAAAAAATATATACAACAATACAACAATTGCAAATGAAAAATTATATTATATATTTCTGTGTTTCAGTTTCAGTGTAGTTACCTCCTCAGACTGTGTGTTTACCGGCAATCTGATCCTAACTGAAGAAGCTGCTTGGAAAAACTTTCGTCCAGTTGACAGAATTGCATTTTTCATTTGCAATTGTTGTATGTATATATATTTTTACTGTACTACACGTGTTTTATCCCTGTGTACAGCTCTTTGTTCATTCAGACTCAGGGTCATGCATGCTCTGTTTAGATTCGTCACAGTCAAAAAACTGTAATAAATAAAAAGCAGAATGAAACACTCCAGTAATTATTTTGTATAAACAATCATTCAAATTTTATCATAGTACAAAAAAAACAAAAAATATGAATGAATTTTGAGGTTAAAAGTTTGAGAAGTTGTTACAAAGAGACCGAAGATCTATTACAGTGCATTCAGACATTGATGTTTGACGCAATGGGGCTCAGAAGCACCTGTCAACATGTGTCTCATATTGCTCATAGACTTTCCAAACATTGAAATATTTCTGATCAGTTTATAAATCAGTAAAAACTCCAGGATAAATGTTTATTCCACACACACTGTACCTGAGCTCAGCCTGTGTGAGCTCATATCCACAGAGGAGACGTCCTGTTCAGAGACAGTTTTATGAACCTGCACTTCCTCCTGCATCTGGAACACTTTCTCCACACCTGCCATCTCTAGGACTTTACCCAGAATCCTCTGCTCCGCCACATGTACGTGAATGTGCACATCAAGTTTCACGTACAAAACGGCACTTTTATTAAGAAACTGTACGTTCATAAACATGTGATGATGGCTTTATGCTGCACAGTGCCAGGGTCTAATGTGGACTGTTTGCTCAACGGGGGCTGTGGGTATTGTTTTTAAAAGTAAAGGGTCATATAAACAATAAAGCTAGCCCCTGAAAAGAATTACTGGGTACTGGGTTTCCTGTCTCTTTCACAAGTGTGTGGCAAATAACTAGTCAGTGAGATGGTTCAACAGAAGAGGCAGTTCCAGCAGTTACGCAGGGAAGCCTTGTCTGGAAAACTTTAGGAACGAC